AGTATTCTCATATTCCAGGGAAAGCCAGCAGCGGACTTGCTCTGGACAAACCTGTCAGTCTTAGGACACAAAATTGTCTGTCATCTCTTTAGAAGTGAAACAAAGATCTGACCAAGAGGAGGTGAAAGCACTGAAGGGCAATGATGGCTGTCTGGATTGGGAGGCCTGATGTGACACAGAAAGAAGGGTTGGCTAGTAAACTCTCAACTGAAATTCCACCTTTCTGTTCGAGACTGGCCATTGTTGGGGCGCCTGGGTGGCTCAGTCAGTAAAGCGTCTGGTCATGCACTTCCAGGTCATGATCTCAGGGTCATGAGATCGAACCCCGCGTCGGGCTATGCGCTGGGTGTGGAGCCTGCTTGGAATTCTCTCTCTCCCTCTCCCTCTGTCCCCCAAACCTCTCTCTCTTCTTCGCTCAAAAAAATTTTTTTTAAAAATTAAAAATTAAAAATTAAAAAAAAAAAGACTGGCCATTGTTATGTAGGGAAATTTGTCTTCATTTCCTGGTATTCTCTAGTCCATACTTTTACTTTAAGGACGCTCTTCCCAGCCTCCCCTTGAAAGACTGCTATGGATTGGACTGTGTCCCCCAAAAAGATATGTTGATGTCCTAATCCCTGGTATCTGAGAATGTGCCCTTATTTGAAATAGGGTCTTTGTAAATGTAGCCAAGCTAAGAAGATGTCATTAGGTGGATCTTAATCCAATAGGACTGGTGTCCTTGTAAGAAGAAAGTGTCGTGTAAAGACAGAAACACACCAAGAGGGGGCGCCTGGGTGGCTTAGTCAGTTAAGCGTCTGCCTTTGGCTTAGGTCATGATCCCAAGGTCCTGGAATCGAGCTCCTGCTCTGCAGAGAGTCTGCTTCTCTTTCTTCCTCTGCTGCTCCCCCTGCTTGTGCTCTCTCTCTCCATCAGATAAATAAATAAAATCTTAAAAAAAAGAAAGAAACACACCAAGAGAATGCCATATGATGATGGACAAAGAGATTGGAGTGATGTGTCTACTGGCAAGGGAACACCAAGAATTGACAGCCACTGCCAAAAACTAGGAAGAGGCAAGAAAGGATTCTACTCAAAACCTCAGATGGAGCCCAGCTCTACAGATACCTTGATCTCAGACTTGTATCCTCCAGAACTGTGAGAATACATTTCTGTCGTTTTAAGCCACCTGGTTTGTTTTGCTCTAAGAAACTGACAGAAAACTTCTGGATAGAGCAGCTCTAAGGAATTGATATAAAGACAAACCTCCTGGAAGCAATGTCTACAACAGCAGACCCTCCTTTATCAATACCCATTAACCATTCAACTTGATGAAATCTGGCTACTACTACTCCACGAAAACTGCTCGCAAAGATCACCAATGTCCTGCTTGTCAACTGCTCCAACAGACTTTTCTTAGACCCCCGTGTCACTTCCTGGCAGCATTCTCTTCCTCTGCCCACTTCCTAAACATCAGTGGGCAGCAGAACTCTGTCCTGGTTCCTTTCTTTTCTTGTTTGAAGCCCTCTCGGTGTGAGAGTCCATCCATTCTTCAACACCCAGGTGATAATCATAGCCATGAGAGAGGCCCAAATTCAAATCACTCCAAACCTATTCCACCTTACATTTTCTATAACTTGAGCAATAGTTTTACAATCTACCCTGCTGCCAGAAACCAAACTTCAGCTTACTCTCTTACTCTCCACATCCAACTGATCAACAATTTCCTCTTAAATACCTTCCCCATCCACCACCACTATTGCCAAAAGGCTACTGTGAGCCACCTGTTTCTCACCGGCACTGTTGCAAGATCCTCCTACCTCTAGTCATGTCCTACTCCACAATGCTTGTTTCTTTTCAAAATACAAATATGATGATGTCACTCTCTGCTTAAAAACACGACTGCCCTCAAAACAGAGCCCAAGCTTCTTAACAAGAGTGTTCTATTACCTGACCCCTAGGTATTTAGTCTTGCCCCTCACCATCTATGTACCAATTAGATTGAATATTGAACAACTTTTTGGTCCCTACACACTCAAGTCACTTCCTTGACTATATAAATTCTGGCACATGATATCTCACTAGACTGTAATTCCCATAAGGACAAGAACCATATCTAATTCAACATTCTATCTCCAATGCCTGAAATTTGCAGGTATTCAACACTTGTGAAATACAGGAATGAGCATACTTTTCATCTGTAGGTGTCCTGCCTCAGAGCCTTCTCAGAAGCTGAAGCAGTGGAAGGTCACTGGCCTGTTTGAGCTCTGCCCAGAAATATGGGAGAATGATTGCTGTTTCCTCTGCTCCCCACACCCCTTCTCCACACCCCTGCTAAGGGCAAACCTATACCACTGGCAGAAAGCAGGTTCCCGTCCTTCAAACAAGTAGTTCTAGAAAACATCTGGAACATTACCAGTGGAATTGAACTCCCACTGGCCACAGTAGTGATTTTCAGACCACATTGTTATACTGGCTCTTCCTCACTGTCATGGTCACATCATCTCTGCCCCTCACTCATGCTTTCAGAGCTGTTACCCAATGGTTTTAGCAGTTGGATCTGTAAATCTTTGGGGGGGAAATCCACATTTAAAGCTCTGTTAAGATTTGCAGGTTAAAATAAATTCAAATGCTCAGAAACTTTAAAATGTATTCCTGGGTAACTTGCATTAAATGAGAAATTAAATAAGAAATTATAACATATTCAGGATAATCATAGTGAATGAAACTTTCTTGGTTTTCAAACCTGTGGGCTGCGGTTATAGCAATCCTCAGGTCATGAGAGTTCATTACATTAAGTAGTGAGGAGAGAATCCTTCACTGATAGAGTGGGATTTGAGCTTGTTTTCCCAAAATAAATATACTATCAAAGCCCTGACTCCCAGAAATCCTCCTCACTGGTTTACTGGGGCCACTCAGAGCAAGGACATCCAACACCGATTCTAGGAGGAACAGAATCTAGAGTTTGTGTGGACATGTGATGCTCTGAAATTAAAATCATAATGACATCAATAAAGACTCTAACTTATAACGCATAATGATGCACCTTTCCACTGTCTCTACACTTATGAACTACTCAATGGTGATTAACAATATGTACTTGGGAATAACACATCTCTGTGTCCGAATCCCAGCTCAGCCACTGATTTTGCAGCTTTGGGCAAGTTTTCTTAATTTTTTCTGAAACTCAATTTCTTCATCTATATAATGAAGATAAGTTATTGCAATGGGTTGTTACAAAGATGAAATAAGATTGTCTATGCATATCATTTAGTCCAGTTTCTGATACATGTGCTTGTTAAATAATATGTATTGTTATTATGTCTCATGCCATTTCATCTCTCCAGAAAAGTTAAGTAAATTGCCTAAAGAAGAGCTAGAACTGGAGCCTGGGCTCCTGAATCAATCTTGACTTCATGGATTTGTTTAAGGGTTATGATTTATAAACCCAGTACAACATAAATTTGCTCACAATGCTAAATATAAACAGCCAAGTGTTTTTTTTTTCTTTTTGTTTCTTTTCACTTGGCTCACCTTATAACCACACAGAGATTGTGAGGCTTATCCAATTCTCACAGTGCATGGAGAGCCACGGTGAGCAATTAACTTCAACATTCTGAAGCCAACATGGACATTGACAGGCTAATGTTGACCTCGTGGCCTTGATAGGGACATTATGGTTTATATTGCTATCCCTGGCAACCAACACCAAATGAAAACAGTTGGATAGGTGGGCTAAAGCCACCCTACTCAAGGTCACCCATTCTCTATATCATTAACCACAAAGTCAAGATATTCCACCAAGGGAAAATAGGACAAAGCTAGTATCAATGAATTCCATGTTATATGGACTTGGAGATCTATTAGTTCTCTGAATTAATAATGAGTATTAGTTTCCTGTGGCTACAGTAACAAAATATCACAAACTTGGTGGCTTAAAACACAGAAATGTAGTCTACCACAGCTCTTGAGGTCAGAAATCCAAAATTAGTTCTAGTGAATCGAGGCGTCCATGGGGTACCCGGGTGGCTCAGTCGGTTAAGCAACCGAATCTTGATTTTGGCTCAGGTCATGATCCCAGGGTTCTGGGATCCAGTCCCACCTCACCATGGGCTCTGCATTTAGCAGGGAGTCGGCTTGAGATTCTCTCTCTCCCTCTGCCCCTCCCCCTACCACCACTTGCTCGCTCTCTCTCTAAAATAAATGCATAAATCTTTAAAAAAGAAAAAAAATCAAGGTGTCCACAAAGCACCTTGCTCCTTCTGGAGGCTCGAAGGAAGAATCCCGTCCTCACCCCACCCAGCTTCTGATGGCTGCCAACATTCCTTGGCTTGCGGCCATAAAACTCCAATCTCTGCTTTCATCTTCTCATGACCTCCTTCTCTTTTTCCCGTGTCCAATCTCTCTTTGCCTCTCTCTAGTTAAGGACACCTGTGCTTGCATTTAGGGCCCCCCTCAGCTAATCCAAGAAAACCTCTCCATTTGGAGATCCTTATTTAATCACAGCTGCAAACTTTTTTCCGAATGAGGTAACATTCACAGGTTCCAGGCATTAGGATGTGGATATCTTGGGGGTGGGTGCATTTTCAGCCTACCACAATGGGCTCATACTTCCTAAAACATGATATCCAGGTACTCCATCGGGCTTGTTTTTAAGACATAAAATGGGCCCCTCTATTCACAAATATATATTCTTTACCATGATTTAACAGGAAATGCCTGAAAACCCAACCATGATCCCTAAAAGAGTCTAATGTTTGCTCCCATGGTTCTTCATGCAACAATGCTGGCTGTCTGGTGAGTTGCCTTCTGGCCGACACTTCCCTCAAGAGTCTTCATATATATATATATATATCTTTGATTACCTTCCTTTCCTCTAGCATAGTAATTAGTGAAAATAATACATTATAAACAATATACAGCCTTAGGAAGAAATGTTTTTGAAATGTGGAGCTTAAAAGAACAGAGCACATCTCGTAAATGACTGGCCTCTGGGAAAGTAAAGCTGTCTCCAACACAACCTTCCAGAAGCTGACCCTCCAAAGAGGGAGATGAAGCGCCAACAACACAAGCTGCCACAAGAATGCAGGGGTTGCTTTTCCCAGCTGCAGGTGATGTAGAAAGACAGCCTCTTTGCTTCTCGCTCTTCATCCAGCCCTCGCCACACCCCCGTGAGGGGAGTGCTATCACTATGCCCCGCTAACAGATGAAGCGCGTGCCAGAAGGGCCTTGGCCAGTCACAGGGCTTGAAGCGGTCTGGCCAGCTCTGCTCGGTCCCCAGAGTGCCCAGCTACTACCTCGCGCGCCCGCGTTTGTCCGCAGAGCACTCGCAGTTGGAACTAGTTGGCTAATTGGGATGCAGAGCTGGAGAGCCGCGCGCGCCCACCGCCGACGTGGGCTACCCGGGCCCCGCAGCCTGGCTTCGCACCGCACCGCACCGCAGGCTCCGGGACTGCGCCCAGTGCCACCCCAGTCCGGCTCGGGGCCTCGCCCACGCATGCCACAGACGCGCCCACAGCTCCCGGGCTTTGGATCCGGGACTACACGTAGGCGCTCACGCGCACACCCGTCAGTGCTGACCCTGATCTGCCGAAGCCTTGGTCTTGGGCCCCGTCGGCCGCCGTCGCCTGCTCTGCGGTCCCCGGCTGTCACTGGTGTCGTGGCGCCTCGCTCCCAAACATGCGCAGCGCGCTGGGTGTGCTGACGATCCACCCCAGGATCGCAGCTTGCCCACCGCGGGGAGGAGGCGGAAGCGTCAGGTTTCTGTCCCTTGAGCCCTCCTTTTTCGCCCGCCCTTGGGCTCCAGAGCCTCGCCTGGGGTGAAGTTCGGAGACGGCGAGGTCTCCGTGCCTCCTGTCTCTGCAGCCCGCGGAGCCATGGCTTGTCCGGCCACCGTGGGCTCCTCTGGCCCTGGCAACGTGGGAGATCCAGCCTTCGGACTGGAAAGCTGGCAGGAGACAACGGGACAGAAAAAGGCCTGGAAACTTAAGCCGGCTCAAGAAGGGTGATTGTTTGATGGTCGGACCGGGCTAATAACCTTTGGGATAGCGGAAAAATGAGAATTATTGGGGTTTTGTGGTGTAGCGGTGGGTAAGAATGTCAGCCAGGGAACTCTGGTGAGCAAGAAATGTCACGCCTCTTGATTTTCTGGGTCTCAGTCAATTTCTGACTCCTCTGAACCACATCCACCCACCCTTCCCTGCCCCCATCGGATGGGCTGGTTAAGAACTAAAAATTACCCCAGTCCCCTTACCAGGGGTTAGGCCAAATTCTGACTTGCTGGATAAATTCACGGTTTAGTAACTTACCCAAGATCACACTGCCAGTAAGTGGCAGGATTCACACCCAGATATCCTGGTCTCCAGAGGCTGTACTCTCAACCAAGATGCTATATCTCTTTATGAAATGTTTAGCCTCACCCCTATTTGAAACCAGTTTGGGTCACAGTGCTATGAAGCATAAAGCACACTGACTGCAAGTCAGAAGTGGCCTGAAACAAGACTCTATAGTTCTCTGGTCTTCAGTTTCCTCTGGATGAAATGGGGTTAATGTCCAAGGTCTTGGAATTCTAGGGAGTGTAACTGGTCATTTGAAAGCCACATCCAGCCCATCATAATGATGTCTCCTGGCTGACAGATTTTCAAGCCCAGATGCAGCAGCTTCTAGGTGAAGTGACCTCATCATCACTGATGCAAGACTAGATTCTGTACCACTAAACTGGTTGGTGCACAAGGACAGATGAGAAATGTTGAGGGTGCAAAGGAGGCAATTATGACACTAGCTGCCACCTACATCCACTCCCTCTCCACCTCCCTTCAAACAGACATGGACAAGAACTTAACTATGCCACGTGGGGAAGGGAGGCTGATTCTGGAGACAGTGACTCTGTAGTCCAAATGCCACTTATAAGTTTCAGAGAGATCCCTCACATCACATATGGCTGAGTACCTCCTGGAATTATCAACAGTCCAGCTCAATTTACATTTCACTTTCCAAAACAAATGTAACTGTTCAAAAAAGAGCAGGAACTGCTTAAGCCATGCTTGCTGACTTCCTTGAAGCCAGAGGCCAGTGTCACATGAAAAGCACAGACTGGGGGAGTTTTAAGTGGAATCTGCAGCTATTTTCTCCCTCTCTGTGGGGACCTCAGTTGGCAAGTCAGAACAGATTCCTGGAGAGGGTTCTGGTTGTGTGAAAATTGATTTGCAGGCTCAAAGGCTTGCACTCCCCTGAGGCCAAAGGGAGTCTTCTTAAATTTAAGATATAATCAAAATGGTTCCTATTGTAACAGACCTTTGTATGGAAATAAGCAGACTTGCTCAATCACTCAAAATCAAATGGCAGGCTCATTTGAACATAGTATCAATGGCTGTGTTACGTATGTATATGTTCAGGTGAAATTTTATATCTCATTCCAAATAGGAAATAGAGATTTTAAAATTGCTTCAGTTTGGACATTTTCACCTAAAACCCAAAGCATTCAGAAGGGAAATTCCATTTAAAGTCCATTTGAATGAATGAATGAATGAATGGGCGAATGAATGAATGCAGTTTGCCCCAATCTTATAGAAAGCCTACATTTTCACTTCTGAGCCCTTTTATAGACTCCAAGGAGTAGGAATTCATCTAGCTTATCCCAGAACTCTTGGGTAATAGAACTTTAGACTCAGCTCTAGACAGATCACATTCACCCATTCAGATCTTTAAGCTCGTGGGAAATAGGGATTTCACAATCTACTGATAAACCACCCCTATGCTTAAAAACCCTCACCTTTGGAATTGCTTTCCTGGTTATAATCCAGGCCCTCCTCCCACAATTCAGCATTATGGAAACTTAGATCTGGAAAACAACCTTAAAGGTTGTTGTATTAGTTTTCCAACAGACTTGATGGATTAAAACACAAATTTATTATTTTACAGTTCTGTACGTTAGAGTTCCAAAAGAAGTCAAAAACTCAACACAAGTCATAAAAATCAAAGTGATAGCCGGGCTGTGTTCCTTTTTGGAGGCTATGTGTGGTGGGGGCAGGGGACTCTTTTCTTGCCTTTTCTACCTTTTAGAGGCTAACCGTATTCCTTGGTTTGTGGCCCACTTCCTCCTTCTTCAAAGCCAGCAACGTTGCACCTCTCTGACTGTTCTTCATATCATCCCTTGCGATGTCAGCCAGGAAACGTCTGATTTTAAGGACACAGAGATTGTCCCCCCCCCCCGCCCAGTAATCCAGAATAATCTCCCCATTTTAAGGTCCTTACTTTCTTCACATGTATAAAATGCCTTCTACCCTGTAAGATAACACTCAAAGGTTCTAGGGATTAGGACATAGATGTCATCGGGGGTCATCATTCTACATATATGACAGGCATCTCTTCCAGCTCCTTTCTAGAAGAAGGAATTCCCTGATAGATGTTCCTCTAATCTGAGTACTTCCACTGATGGGGAGGTTATTACTTCACAAGGCCGCAAAAGGGTAATGTTGACCAACTCTAAATGTCACAGAATTCTAATGTTCAGTCCCAGTACTGCCCATGCATAGGTCCTTGTCTTAAGAAGCACAGGAGAAAACCTAAACTGGTATCCCCACCTACACATCCCCCACATGAAGTTCTTAATATATTTGAAAACAGCCAGAAGATTTTCCTTTTATTCATTAGTTGAACAAATTGAACACCAATTGTATGTGGATGCTATCCTAGGCTTCAGAGATACAGTGATTAATCAGCCAAAGTCCCCAGTCTCATAATGCATTTCTTCTAGTGAAGGAAACAGGTGGATAATCCAATAGACAGCCTTAGCATCACCTTGAATACCACGAAATCAGGGGGACCAAAATAATTTTTGAAAGAATTTTATATGTGTTCTAAAAATCACCTGTTGGGGCACCTGGGTGGCTCAGTCAGTTAAGTGCCCAACTCTTGATTTCAGCTCAGGTCATGAACTCAGGGTTGTGAGACTGAGCCCCACATCAGGCTCTGTGCTGGGCATGGAGCCTGCTTAAGATTCTCTCTCTCTCTCTCTCTCCCTCTGCTCCTCTACCCCCCAAAAAATCTCCTGTCAAGCAATTATGGAGGGGGTGGGTAGAACTGGTTAGACCTTTGTACACATATTTTATATTTTAGAATTGTTTACATTTTGAATAATGGAAGAATACCAAAACCTTTTCAGAGCCATGGTCCTCTGAAGATCTTACTCTAGCCTTGAGGGAGAAACAATTATAAATGAGGCAGAACAGTTTCTATTAGAATTAGCAAAGATGGCTTTCTGGAAAAGGTAGAGCCTTCCAAGATGACCTTCCAAGATTTCAATAAGCAAAGACTAGCAGGGAGACATTCTATAGATTTGTACTTACACCAAGGCAGCCAGATGAGAGGGAGAATCAGGGCAGATAAGCCTTTTAGTTTGGGCATATGGCTGAGGATAGGGCATAATCTGGATGTTTTCCAGAGAAGACTAGGAATTCAGTGGCAATGGGATAGCACAGTTCTGGCATTTCCCCATACTATCTGTAAAGATCCTGTAAAGCAAGAAAGAACCAAAAGTCAGACATGGAGGATAAGCAAGGCACTTGAGAGGTTGGACTCCCCAGTCAGAGGATATTTTCTCACATGATCGGCAACACATCAGAATGGGGAAGTCTGACTCTGTAGTGCTCAAAAGGAAGGTCACTTGAGCCTACCAATGGGCTCTTCAGAAATAATGTGAAGGTGTTTGGAGCACAAGAGCCATTTCATGCTGTGTCCCTCTCTACAGTCTACAAAATCCAGATCTAAGTACCTTTAGCTTGCTGTGGTTGAGTTTACCTGAGTCACTCAGAACTCCAGGCTGTGACAACCTGTAAAGCAAAAGCTAGAGGATGCTCCAATGGGTGAGGTCATCAAGGCATTTGTTCTTGTTCATTTAACTTAAATTTTACTCTTTTCTCTTCATCTAATTCAGCCTCTCCACATGCATTCTTGGAGCTGGTAATAGGAACATGCCATTTCTACTCATATGCTGTGCTGCTGTTTCTAGATGTAACTGAAATAATGAAAATAAACCTAACCAATTTTCATTCAAATTTCCTGACATAGAAAATGAAAAAAAAAAATCTGTTTATTTTCAATTTGGCTTTCCCAGAGGCTCTGCTGTTGACTCGATAATATTGAAAGTTCAC